ATTGATTTTTTAAATTTCTCTTTCTGTGAGTTCATTATTGGTGTATTAAAAAACCATAGATTTCTGGATGTTAATTTTGTATCCTGCTATATTGCCAAATTCATTTGTTAAGTCTAGTAGTTTTTTGGTGGATTTGGGGTTTTCTTTGTACAATATCATGTCATCTGTGAATAATGACAGTTTTACTTCTTTTCCAATTTTGATGCCTTTTATTTCTTCTTGTCTGATTGCTATGGCTAGCACTTCCAGTACTATGTCGAACAGGAGTGGTGAAAGTGGAAATCTGTCTTGTTCCTGTTTTTAGGGGAAATGGTTTTAGTTTTTGCCCATTCAGTATGATGTTGGCTAATAACCTACCTCCCTCCTGCTTTCCAGCTATATTTTTCTTTATAACTTTTTATCACCATCTGACATATTATGTACTGTTTTTAAAAAGTGCTTTTCTTTCCACAACTAGAATGTATGCTCCATGAGTTCAGGAACTGGTTTAATTGCACTATATCTTCATTGCCTAGAACCCTGGCACATAACGCCACTCATTAAATATTTGTTGACTGAAGGAATTTAATATACAGTGATCTACTTTTACTTAAATTCTAACTACTGTCTCAACGTTCTCACCTGCCTTATGTTACAGAGTGTATTAAGTGTCAGGTTAGAATTCCTGATGATGAAATATTTCTTCCACTTCTCAGAGACACATAGACTATGCAGCACCTATGAGTAGTTCTGCCACTTATTAGCTCTCTGACCTGGGCCAAGTTTGTTTTTTTTTGTTTAACTTCTGTTTTCTCATCTGTAAAATAAGGATAATAATAGTTCCCACCTCATTAGGTTGTTGGAAGGAGTTGAAAAAGTTTAATATATACAGTGTGTAAACAGTGCCTGGTATAAAATAAGCAGTATATATAAGATTGTTACAATAATTATGCTATAGTATCCCTATCACTTGTTATTAGAGTACCTGGTACAGGGAAAATAGAATTGGACGCTGGAGATATGTTATATTGATAGAGAAATTGGAAGACTTTGAAAACTGACAGTATATTATTTTGGAAGGGGAAAATAAAGCAAATGAAATAGCCAGGTGATATGTGTATGGGTAACATTGTATTTTTAAAACATTCATACACCATGAAATGCTTTTCATAAAATATTATTCGTTAATTCAGGGTTTATTAAAAAGTACCTAAAACTAGTGAACATACAGTTATCTCTCTCTCTTGAGAGTCTTAGTAGTACCATTCTAGGTACATTGGAGAGAAGGTAATTCATTACTTATACTGGATGCCTTAGAGCAGTGGTTCTCAACCTTCTGGCCCTTTAAATACAGTTCCTCATGTTGTGACCCAACCATAAAATTATTTTCGTTGCTACTTCATAACTGTAATGTTGCTACTGTTATGAATCGTAATGTAAATATCTGATATGCAGGATGGTCTTAGGCGACCCCTGTGAAAGGGGCCCCGGCCCAAATCGCCCCCCCCTCCCCATTGGGGCTAGATCCAAACCTGGCTGGGTCCCACCCTTGTCAAAGTCCCTCTGGGCGGGGAGGCAACAGCCTCAGGTCCCCATGCCCCGGCGCTAGGGGCGGGGGGGTGCGGCTTGAGGTCCCCTAGCCCAGGCCAGGGCAGGAGTGCGCCTTGAGGTTCCCTGTCAAGCCCCATGGGGGCGGGGGGGGGGAGGGCTGCAGCCTCAGGTCCCTGCTGATTGCTTGTTAAGGCTCGTGACGGGAACTCGGCCTCCGCTGTGGGCGCAGGTATCTTGTGTTACGGAAACCCCCGACTCTGCTGTGTGCGCCGCCATCTTTGTGCGGAGTGACAGTCAATTTGCATATTCCCTCTTTATTATATAGAAAAATTTTGTAAAATCCTATATAATAAAACCCTAATATGCAAATCGACCAAACTGCAGAACAACCAGCGGAATGACCGGTCAGTATGCCCTGCACTGCCCCCCGAGAAGGAGGCAACCGGTGGTGGTGATCAGGGGCGAGGCAGGCCAGCAGGTGGCGCCAGGCTGCCAGCCAAGGCAGGTGCCAGTGGGGGTCCCCCTGATCTCCCCGCCTGTTGGTCACCCCACAAAAGGGAGGTGACTGGTGGTGGGGGGCGGTGCCAGGTCACCAGCCAAGGTGGGTGTCAGAGGGGCCCCCCCCCAATCACCCTACTCACATGTTGCCCCACATATTGGCCTTGATCGCCAGCCAGGCCTAGGGATCCTACCCTATATATTGGGAACAGTCTCTTAGATTTAAAAATTAAAACCTGGCAAGGCTACTCTAACACTGAAAAAACAGGATGATGCAGCGATAACATGCATGGACTCTGGCTTGCACATTTTGTGGTCAGCCCTGATTCTGACACTTATAACTGTGTAACAAAGCCAATTACTTACTTTCTCTCTGCTTCAGTTTTTCCACCCATAAGATGAGGAAAATGGTACTACTGCCTCAGAAGGATCATGTTATATACTATTTTTTATAATCAGGGCAAAAAAATGTAGCTGCCCATACAACAGCAAGAAGCCTTTCACCTGTATGAAAAGTATAGTCACTGGTGCATGCAGCGTCCCAGATTGTGAGAGGGATGTCCCATCACTGCCAGTTTAGGCCCAATCCCCACGGCAATTGGACATCCCCTGAGGGTGCAGGCCAGGCTGAGGGACACCCCCCACCCTCTGGTGCATGAATTTTGTGCACCAGGTCTCTAGTCTATATATATCCTATCTAATAAAAGAGAAACATGGTAATTAGCGTACAACCGCTACCCTTCCCATTGGCTAATCAGGGCGATATGCAAATTAAATGCCAGCCAAGATGGCGGCCGGCAGCCAGGCAGCTGGAAGCGAACATGAGGCTTGCTTGCTTCAGTGAAGGAGGACTCCAACGTTCGCTGCCTGCCTTGCCGGCCTCTGAGCTGGCAGTTTGAAACATTGTAACAAATATAGAAGCTAAACAAAACCCCAGAAACCTGCTTTCAGCCAGCCGGGATCTCAGAGCTGGAGATGATACAGTGTTTCGATTATAGAACCCAAAGAAACCAGATACCTGCTTTCAGCAGCAGAGGCCTTGGCCCAGAATAAAAAAAAAAAAGAAAAAAGGAGCGGTTGGGAGCTTCAGTCACCCACCAGCCTGAAAACAGCCCTCAGCCCCTCACCCAGACTGGCCAGGCATCCCAGTGGGGACCCCCACCCTGAAGGGTGTGTGACCAGCTGCAAACAGCCATCATCCCCTCATCCAGGCTGGCCAGGCACCCCAGTGGGGACCCCCACCCTGATCCAGGACACCCTTCAGGGCAAACCAGCCAGCCCCTACCCATGCACCAGGCCTCTATCCTATATAGTAAAAGGGTAATATGCCTCCCAGCACCGGGATCAGCGTGACAGGGGGCAGCGCCCAAACCCCCTGATCGCCCTGCGGCTCTGTGTGTGACAGGGGGCGGGGCCACAACCTCCCTATCTGCCCTGCTCTGTTCGTGACAGGGGAAGGCGCCCCAACCCCCTGATCGGCCCTGCTCTGTGGGTGATAGAGGCCGGCGCCCCAACCCCCTGATCCGCCCTGCTCTGTGTGTG